TATATAATGTGAATGACACATCTGTTAGTAAAATACTTCATTTCTTGTCAACACGTGAATATTCTCTGTCCATCGACTGGTGAAGCTGTTAGCATGTAGCTGTTAGCATGTAGCCTGCTTCGCCCCGGAAGTGATCAGCGGTCAGTATCAGCTGTGTTCACGAGCAGGTAAGAGAACAGACGTGTCTGTGTTGAACCGAAGGAAACAACAGACACGAGAAGCGTTTGGTTTCAGTCTGTGTGCTAATGCTAAGTCCACGTTCCCCTCCGTGTGCTGCGGGTTCTGATGATCAGCACGGTGAAGTTGAACTTATTTAACTTATTAAACTAAACTCGAACGAGAGGAGTGCGGATGTTCGCTGGGTCAACGTCAGCTCCCTCAGGCTAAATGTTGAAAACCACATGTGCACAGTGTACACGGTGAAGAGAGGAAGTATCAGACAGTTGTAGAAACAGGAATATATTTGCAGTAAATCCTACGAACTGTGTACTTTGTGTTCTGAGTGTCACTGGTGTGTGTGGCTCAATAAAGTTTTATCTTAACAACACGTGAGTGAGTCAACTCTTCGCCATCCGGTCACAGCAAGAAACTTTTCACTCTAAAACCTCTGAGTGAGTTCAGTGTAACTAGGGCTGCAAAATTCCGGGAATTTTCAAAGTTGGAAACTTTCTATGGGAATTAACGGGAATAAATCTGAAAATTTACAAAATTGGAGGTTGGCCCTCGACAGGGAACTTAGATATAGTTGGGAAAATATATTGCAGCACAATCTTTGCTAAAACAACCAGATTCACTTCACGTGCACTCCTCCATCACATGCACATCTGATTTCAAGACCATTGAAGCCACACATTTGAGCCCGAGGACTAGAGTCAAGTCAGTTCTGATAATATTATGGGGTAAATACATTTGATCTATCATAGTATTGATGTGTAACTTTAAATAAGAATAGCAGCTAAATGTAAACTATTTTTCAATTCGTTGACCATTTAAGAGGCTACTCAACATTTTCGTTCACACAAGAAATAAAACTAAAGTTCTACTTAAATCAATCTGTTGAAATGTTTTTTAAATTGTATTATTCTGCATGGATGTCTGCTTATGACAAAACAACGATATTTACATTTATATTTGGATATGATCCAGTTTGTTTAAATTACCCCCAATTTACAGTTAATTCCCATAATTCTCATGGAAAGTTTCCAATTTGGAATATTTCCAAAATTCCCCACCTTAAGTTCCCATGGAAAGTTTCCGCTCCCTTGCCACCCTAAGTGTAACTCATTTAAACTGTCAAACATCTTCGTTCCAGAGCACGATGGCCTCGCAGGTCAGACTGAGGCTGCTGCCCGGCACCAGGTGCTTGTTCGACGAGCCCCTCCAGGTGACGGTGGCCGGCCTGAGGTCTCGGCAGGTGGTCGCCCTGAGAGCCAGGTCGACGGACGAGAAGGGGACGGTGTTCAGCTCCTCGGCCACCTACAGGGCCGACGGGAGCGGGGAGATCGACCTGGGCAGAGACCCCTCGCTCAGCGGCAGCTACGTCGGGGTCGAGCCCATGGGTCTGCTGCGGTCGATGGCGGCGGACACCGCGCACAAAAGGTTTCAGAAAACGAACTCACTGAACCCCCATGTGGTGAAGTTCTCTGTGCATGAGGTGGAGGGGCAGGGCAGGATGCTGGTAGAAGTGACCAATGAAAGGATTCTGATGGCGGACGGCGTCGGCAGGCGTCCTGTCAAAGAGGGGAACATTCGTGGATACCTGTTCACTCCACCTGGTTGGTCCATGCATCTGTCATACTTCAAATCAGTCACTGAGGAAAGCTCAGATACTTTATTTTTAAATCACTAGATAGATAGATACTCGTTCTCTCGATTCATATGAAGCCGCATATTTTTAAAATGCAAACATATTTTACATCAGGGAATTTATTAGCAAATCAACGGAATAAACCGCTATTTTCTGATATGATAAAGTTATTAAGCTGTAATCTGATCTACTCATGTTGAGAAAACACTGAGGTGACGTCGTGTTTTCTCCAGGTGAAGGTCCGTTCCCCGCTGTGTTGGACCTGTACACGTTCGGCGGAGGTTTATCCGAGAAAAGATCGTCTCTGCTGGCCAGCCGAGGATTCGTGGTTCTGACCGTGGCGCTGTACGGACACGACGACCAGCCGAGGAACATCAAAGAGGTTCACCTGGATTATTTTGAAGGAGCGATTGAGTTTTTAAAAAAGCAAGATAAGGTGAGTTCTGTGGATCCTGATACTTTTGTGTACTTTTATGTGTTCAGCAGCTGCTGCTGCTCTGAAAGCCCTGCAGCTAAAAGCAGTTTCATTTTATAGCTTTACATTTTTAATGTTTTTCCACAGGTGGGCAGTAAAGGAGTTGGTTTAATATCCCTTTCGAAAAGTGGAGATCTTGCTCTTTCCATCGCCTCTTACCTGCCACATGTTGATGCCACAGTGTGGATCAACGGCTGCTGCGCCAACACAGTGTTACCCCTCTACTACAAGAAAGAAAAGATCCACCCTCCGTTACTGTTTGACGCCGAGAAGGTCATTGTCACCGAGTCGGGGGCCTGCATCACCAAGGACGCCATGCACAGCCCCTGGGCAGAGGAGAACAAGGCCACCTTGATCCCCATCGAACGGGCGAAGGGACGTTTCCTGTTCGTAGCTGCGGAGGCCGACCTCAACTGGGACAGCAAGGCTTACCTGGACGTGATGGTGGAGAGACTGAAGCGTCACGGGAAGGACAACTTTGAAAGTGTTAGTTACCCAGAGGCAGGGCACTACTTGGAGCCTCCTTATGGGCCTTACTGCCCCTCCAGCTTTCACGGGGTTATGGGTAAGCCGGTGGCGTGGGGGGGCGAGTCCAGGTCCCACGCGGCCGCTGAGGTTCACCTGTGGAAGAAGATCCAGGAGTTCTTCAGATCCCACCTGAGCTGTGACGGTGTCACACAGAATAAAGCCAAGTTATAGATGCGAAGACGTCAAACAAACATCCGGTGCCTGATCGTGCTGATGGTTTGTGTAACAACCATCTGTACTCGTTTAATGCAACTCCTCGTCTGTTAGCGCAGATGAGCGGTGATCGTTAACACGAGGCTCCGACAGCCACAACTCCCGTGTGACTTCAATCGTTTTTCTTCTGATGATCTTCCTCCGTTTGCGCCCACACGTGAACTGTTGAACCTCTGCGTCACGTCTTTCATCTCCTCGCTTTGTTTAATCGCATCTTTTACCAAAGGAGAAGATTAAAGGAGACTTAGAGCGACCCAGTGTTCCGGCTGTGCCTTGAAATGATGCACCTGCATCATGACTCCGGCCGCAGCAGCAGAAATGAACATCGTCTCACCACGCAGCGGTCCACGTCTGACAGGAAATCCATCACGACGCCGTGTTAAACTGGGATTGCGGCCGCAGGCTCCTCGCGTACACGGCGTTTAAACTGCTGTATTTTTAATGAGGAAAAGGAAGCAGCGCGCAGGAAGTGGTGGTGAAAGTGGAAACAAATAGAACAAACTTCCTGACACTGAAACACGGTTTTTAAAGTGACAGTTTTCTAACACGTCTGGTTTTTCTCTCGTCGTCTGTTTCTTTGTGAAGATTTTGATTTTTGAAATAATCTGTTTGCTGATTAATCAACAGCCGCCACTAAGAACGAAAACACACTCGTTCTCTTTTAAAATAAAATTTAACAAGCAAACCGTCCTGCTGTCATTCTTCTCCCTGTCGGATGTTGTCTTGAAAACCCCGTATCTGTCGTACTTAGATTTTAAATTTCGTTCATCAGGGTCTGAAAAGGTTTTAAATGTAACTTGTTAAAAGCTGCAGAGACTCTGCTGAGGAAGCTGCATGATTCTGCCCAGGTGCATTCAACTGTAAAGGCTGGATATATTTATATTTCTTCTTCATTTTCATCCTGCAGTTTTCTCCTGTGTTCAGTCAGAGCAGAAAACAGTGAGTCAGGTCTGGCCTGTTTATTTAAACTGGTTAAAATCACCAGGCCATCGTATAGTTAGGCTCCATACATGTCGTCCAACCTCTGGTTCTTATATATGTATTTATTTGGATGATTGTGTTCGATATGGAATCAGTTCTGTGCTTGTAGCTGTGATTCTGCTGTGAGCCAGCACACCCTGACTGTTACAGCATCTAAAGACGGGACACATTAGTGACATATGAAGAACCTGCAGTGCTTTAACTTCAGGCTTTAACTCTTGAAAGCTTCAGCTCTTTTATATTTGAAACTTGAGACGGAGCTCTCTCACTTTGCTCAATAATGCATCACACACGTCAGCCTCCTTTTCTCCAGCGTCTCTGCAGCTGCTTTTGAAAAAGAAGGTTTCCAGCATCTGTTTCCTTGAAGATTAACTGAGGACGGATCCCACAGATAAAACCATCATTTCATTTTCAGTGCGTGTCGGGAATATTTACCAGGGTTTATTGTGTTTTGCATGTGGGTCGTGAAACTTTCCCTGCTTCAAAAAACTTCCAGTCAAACACCCGAAGCATCGTTATCATGACATCGAGTAATGAATTAAAATCAAACTTATCTGAAATGTGAACACACGGATCAGTGTGAAAAGAACGAATGTAAATCTGTGTACTTTGACTTTTCAGTTCGGCCCATCTGCTAACATGGAGGAGGTGGGGTTTATGAGCTATACTGCAGCCTTGGCTTCACTTTTGGAGAACAGTCATTTCTACCTTCACCGTCACTTTAATTCTTTACTCTTGTGTTTTTCCAACTTTTGTTCTCTCTTATTTTCTAAATTAATGTGCACGAGTGGAGAAAGTTCTTTGTTTCCATCCAGCAACATTTTATTTACAGAATCTGGAGCGATTGTAAAACTTTTCTCTCCCTGCGTCATTCATCCAAAACAAACCTTTTCTCTGCCTTTTCATTCGTTGGACAAGGAGACAAGAAGAAACATGTCTTCCAGCGGTTCAGCGGCCCCGTGTGTTTGGCAGCTCTGCTCAGGCCTCCGCCAAGACACAGACGAGGAGCCAGGCCTCGAGAAAACACACCATCAAAGACAAGCCTCTGGTAAAAGCATCGGATTTGCTCGTTCGTCCCACAGGTTCGGTCGTTTCAGTTAATCCCAGAGAGACCTGCAGAGGTTCACTGAGGCAGCACGGGCGTCCTCCTGCACACATTTCCATGTGTGAGAGCTGCATGCCACTGTGCATATTTATAGTCGTGTGACTCATGTCTGCTAATACCGTGTAGATTTATGGATTTATGCAGAAATACATAATGAGAATATTCAAGATTACACACTGGTGAGATTTCTCTGCCTCCGATTGGTCCGTTCGTGTAGATTTGATCAGCTTTACATGAAAGCTTCTGTCTTTCATCAAGTGTAAAGTCACTCTGTCACAAACATTATTTCATGTGATCGTAAAAGTCTTTCTCTTCTTCACGCAGTGCCTCGCTCGGCCTCATGGTGGAACTACAGCTAAACATTTAAAGCCTTAACACGTCACAGGAAACACTGGTCCAGGTTGACATGGACTCGAAAAAAGATTCCTGAGTAACTAAGAATAATAATAACAATAACTAAATGCGTAAGACTCAAGATAATCTCGATAAAGATTCCCTGAAATCATAACTACCCATGTCTCGTAGCTCTCTGGTCCAAGAAAAAATCTCCTCTGTGCCCGAAGAATAACGTTTTACGACCAGAACTCAGTCGATCAAAATAAGTTTTCCCAATGAACTTCATAGTGGAAACAAAAAAACTAGGATGGCACTAGATCTGGACTTTTATTGGGATCTGCACCAAATTACTCACAAATATCCGTCCGATGTTTATTCTCGGAGAAAACCAACCAACATGTCCAACGTCACAATGTTTAAGAAAGTGAAGAAAGACACAAACCACATCTTTCCATCAAGTTCCACGATCATTGGTTGTGAAGTTTTAAGATCTTCGATATTTAGATGATCCATAATTCTGTCTTTTGAAATCGAGGTTGAGTTCCTGAACTCATTATTCACCCTGTGAAACTTTAGAGTCTTTGAGGAACATGGCAGAAGAGGTTTAATCATCGGAACAAGCTGAGTCGAGTGGTGACTTAGTGTTGTGGATATTTTGTGACATGGTGCCAGGGATGATGGATCGCTGTGTAACTTTAGTAAAGACGTTATTTTGTTACCAAAGCTGCAGCGACATGCTCCCACGTCCACTTTACCTTTGAATCATAGGAATAATTCTGGTTGTTCTGATTTCACAGCTGCATAGATACAAACATGAGGAAGAGGCTGTTCCCAGATAAAGAGTCACAGTAGAACGAAGTGTAGATGTTAGAGCAGACATGATTATGCAGTGTGGGTGGAGCCTGCGGGTTCGGATTGACCTTTATTATCCTCTTTTCTTCTTGATCTCAAGTTCCACAAATGTGACTTTTAAAGGAAAAGATGGAAGCAAAGTGCAGCTCCATCTCGTGCACAGCATGAGCTCTGTGCCAGTGACAGCTGTGCATTGAAATAGAGGTGGAAGGTGTTTGTGTGTGTGTTGGAACCTCACATGAACCTCTGGCCTCGTTCTGAGGTCTTGCGATAGCTCGGAGACGGCGGAGGGAGCACAGCAGTTATATCATGAATCCTATAAGAATAAAGGAAAAGAGGGAAAACACTCGATTATATAAAAGGATCACGAGGACGACGGCGAGACTTTGAAAAGTCGCTCTGACACCTTGAAGAAGTTATCTGAGCGCCACCTGTGGAATTCTGGGAACAAACGCGGTGAAGGATTTACAGTAACCGAGCACGGGAAAAGCACTTGAGAGGGAAATTTCTTTTCCACCTCCTATTGCAGCTGTTGTGCCCTTGAGCAAGGCATGAACTGCCCGGCTCCACTGGAGCAGGAGAGAGCAGGATGTTGGTTCAAGAGGAAGTGAGTTCAGGTGAATCTCCTCTGAGGTCCTGCCACATCTCTTTACTTCTCTGGGTTCAGGATCACTCGCATGTTCGATTACTGCGACGGAAACAAACCAATTAATTGAACGTGTTTGACATTTACAGGGTTTTCTGAGAGAGCAGCTAATTAACTGAACCAAGAGATGAATTATTGATGGACGTTCTTTGCCATGAGGGAATTTGTGTGGATTTGACACATGTAAGCAGGAAAGATAATAATCCTGCAGTGTTGTTCAGTTTAATCTCTTTATTTTCTCATTTTGTTTTTTTGTTTTTTTTTATCAAACCTCCTTTTTGTGTATTTTCTTTGTGTTGTTTTATTATTTGCTGCTGCAGCTAAAAGCCAATTTCCCCATAGTGACATCATTAAACTTTCATCTCGTGTTATTGCTCCGCATTAAAGACCCACAGAGTGAGAGCGGCTGATGGCAGCTGTTCAGGTGCATTTTATAATTTCAAAAATCAACAGGTACAAGCAGACAATCAGAGGATATTGTGCTCCTGAGTGAGGACGCCTGCTGCTGATATTCTGGTTACTTGCGGACGTGAGGTTTTGGAGCCTGCGGCCGTCAGAGGCTCAGCGTCTGTGCAGAAACATTGGGTTTGGTCGTGATGGAGCGTTTCCCCGGGTGCTGGAGGAGAGTGGGGTTGGTGGAGTGGATCTCACATGTCACTGCTCTCTGAGGGGGAGGAGAGGCCTAGGGATGCACATAATCTAATCTTTACCAACACACACACACACACACACACACACACTCTTCACTGAAACTACATATTTCAAACTGTTGCAGAGAAAGTCTCCACATATATTATTGCCGCACTTGAACTCATTTCCCAAAGAAATCCATGCAGACGTTCTGTATTCGGTGTCTTTGGAAACTCTGGGATTTCCACTCGGGTCTAAAATAAAACTGTGTTGGCTTCAGTGATGTTTGGCTGCACGGACGGAGTTTCAAAATGGAACTAGATCATATCAAAGTTTTTTGCTTGAGACAGCTGCATTTGAACAAAAGGTAAAGTAAGAGCTCTTTGGCTCCGGTGGGATCCAGTGCGACGTCCAATGAATTCCCACAAATGATTTTGATGATGCAGCGAAGCCAGAGCACTCAGACAGTGTGATCACCTCACGTGATTAATAAAGAGCAGATCGAGAATCGATAAACTAATATGACTTTTACCTTGAGTCACATTGTCAGAGGAAGTTATGTGAGAGAAAGTGTTGTAAACAAACACAATGTCCAAGTGCATGAGGTCACACACACACACACACACACACACACACACACACACACACACACACACACACACACAGCTGATTAAAAAAAAATACCATTGTGAGAGATATCCATGTCTAGCTCAAGTGAAGTTAG